TTCTAGCCGGAATATGCCGGCGAACATGGATAAGTTTCAGAGACTGCGAAGGGACCCAATATCCTCGTTGTCGATTAGACTTACCACATGAGCATTTGTCTATTTCTGCTAAGGACTGGTGTGCTTCAGTTGCATTCTGTGAGCGGTTACTCAATTCGCATATCAGCCTGCTTTGATAGGCATTCTGAACAGCTGTTTTCGCCTGTTGGCTGGTGTCAATGCGCTCACAACGTCGTCTTTGGCGTCCGCCAAGACGCATCCGCTTTTCAACACATACATGTGCATGGTCGGTGTTCACACCTGTGCTCCGAATCGAGCGACAGTTTGGAACGAAGCCTGTCCATCGTTAACTGATTGCAATGTCGTCGATTTTCGTCCATAGCTGGTTTGAGGCTGGTGGGCGCTAAGTCACCCTCCGGTGGGTGCTGTGTCCGAAGTTAGTGCTGGCCAGAAATAAGCGAGCATCTTCACACAAATGAAGTAACCTGTCACTGTTATCATTACGGGAGCCTACACCATGTTGGCCGCCCAGATGCAGTTCATCAGTGGATAATATTCCAACTTGAGCGTTCAGATCCCCAGCCAGTACAACAGTGTCCGAGCTTCTTCTGTGGCGAACGAGTCCGTTCCATTGGCGATAGATGTCTACCTTTACGTAATCATCGCTAGAGTTTGTCGGTGCATAGGCAGCGATAACGAATAGACACCTGTTAGTCCCACGTAACTTCGAAGCTTTGAACGAGTCAGCCAATCGGACCGCACACATCCGGCTACTGATTGGAATCCAGTCAACCAGAGTAGCTTCAGTCCGGGGACTCAGGGCAATACCAACATCGGCTTGGCCGGTGCTCGAAGCTGCATCGTCACCGGATAGGCGCAATGAGAAAGTGCTGCTAGTGTCACCTGAAGGGGATCGCAGAGTGAGCACAGAGCTCGAGTCTTGCAGGCGGGTCTCCGATAAGCAGCAGATATCAATCGAGACGGTCTCTAATGTGCGGGAAAGTACTGCCTGTTGACCCATCTATAGCAATGTGCGCACATTGAGGCATGCCAACCTGAAGGATGATCGAGGGCTCCAAATGGAAGTCGATGAACTGGGCTTGACTGCTTGGTTGGACATGGGCTTGTCGACAGGACAGGAATGACGCTCCGCGTTCACATGTGAGTTGAAACTAGGAGGTAAATGCCTAGCAAAGCAAGGTTAGGCATGGCCGGGAATTGTGGGGGTTGAAAACGGGGATAGAAGTGATACTGGAACGGTACGGTAAGAGTGAAACAGCGTAAGAGGGGGAATAAGAAGACGGGAATGCTTGAGCAGTGGCCTCCAAATCCCTATCCACCCTGCTCAGTGTAGCAGATGGGGCACCTTTGATTATCCTCTGCGGTGGCCAGAGCATCAAGAAACTGTTTAAGAGAAATTCATTGTATTGCATGAGCAAGATACTGTCAGGTTGCCCAGGCCTAGACAAGAGAACGATTAGTGTTCCCAAGCAAAGCGTTTGGTTCAAAAGCCTGACCGCAAGGTAACGGGTTTGGCGTTGGGCTACAAGGAGTCCGTTTTAAGGAATAAGGAGTCACCCTCATTCCAACCCCCAACCTGGAGGGCCAGGAGACTGAGTTTGTCTGGCCTTTAACCATTGACCAATCTGGTATGAGTGGCTCTGGAGGTGCAAAAATTCATCACCCAGCATAGCTCAATGGATCGCTGAGGCACTCAAGCCATCGCACCACGGTAAGGTCCAGCCTTATTGCGATGGAGGTCTAGCCTCATTGCGATGGAAACCGAATGCTGGAACGCCATTAATTGTGCGAGAGCCCCATGTCTGATAAACACTCCAACCATTTGTGTGGACCAATCTGAGGTCCCCGTCCACGAAGATGGTACGCACCAGTCTGGGTAAGTATTATAGTCAATTTTTAAATGCCTTTATGCCTTGTAACTAATTGGCAACCTCGAACTTTCACGTAACTTGGCACAGCCACTGCGTATAATGCATGTCGGGGAAGGTGGTCGGTGGGCATACGGAGAATATGAACTAGCCAACATAGGCGATTAAGATTCTACAAGCACTTGACTGAGAAACCAGAAGGCTTGTCAGAAAACCACATGGCTGACCTCAGCATCGCTCATCCGGTGTTCTCACCGTTTGAATGCAGCTTCTGCATTTGGTTTGAAGTGATTGCCATTCGCCTCTTCTCTTCCATCATAATACGGATCTTGGATTACAGATCACCCGCCTATTGTCCGATCGATCACCCGTGGCGAGGTGCTAATCTGGAACGTTCAGCGTATGATTACTAGGCTCATCTCTAGTTTACGGGGTATTTCGTACGAATACCGATACAGACGATTAGGGTTGTACACTCTGTGTATTGGTAAGGTGCCATACCATCGATCGAACTAAAGAATTTCGGGCTAACACTCTGAAAGATGCTCGGTCGCTACGAGAGGCGAACTGAAGGTTAGTACGCAATGGATTTAGATCAACATGAACGAAGCTCGTACGCTGGCCGAGAATAAGGTAGCAAGGCTATCTGTTCTATATTTCTGAGTGGTTCTAGTTGACGCGATATGTAAAATGAGCTTGTGTTTTATGAATTATAGAATTTCTGATCGAAGCTCAGACTTTGACTTTTGCTTCACAGTGGGCCACATGACACGTTGCCACATGATCGGTTTAGTGTTGATCTCACTATGACACATCGGATATTGCATCCTGGTCACTTCCCCCTGTTGAAGCCGCTGCTTCACGCACGCACACAAAGCAGTACTCGCGAACACCGGTACAAGCTATTCGTACCGGACCTAAAGCGCATGGCTCATCATCTATGCTTCGAGCGTCAAGTGGTGAAATGCTGGAACGGTTTGCCCGAGCAAATAGTCGGAATTCAAGAAGTTCCTTGACGCCCACTTTTCAGATTCAGGGAGCGCATCGCACCAGAATATGGCGCAGATGTAATCTGCTGCAGACGCGTGGGATTCAGTGACGTTATTCGGCGTATGTGCGCGGACTAACTACGATGGAGCAACGCAGACGGATGTCTACTAGGTCACTATTTTCAGTATTCACATGTGAGCAATGCTCCGCTAGCACCGGTGGTCAAACAATGCCAAGCGTTTATTGCCTTCACTGCGAACTGACCAGGTCTCTGATCCATACAGTAACACTGGCATTATCGCAGTGCTATGCACCCCACGTTTCACTGCCAAGCTTATTTTCCGCCGTCTCCACAGATGATTGAGCCTCTAGAAAGCCACATGAATCCTGCTGATACGCGAATTAACCTCCTCAGTGGTGGGACCACCAGAGATGATACTGCTACCAAGGTAAGTATCCTTATCCACCACTTCCATTGGCGGCTGTTCAGTAATAGCTAAAATCGGTGGCCTATCGGTCCAATCCTGCAACAGTACTTTGTACTTTAAAGGTGCAAACTACATGCCGAAGCGTGCAGCGCTATGTGTCAGTCTGTGCAGTAGTGCTTTTGTAGCCACTGTGCCAGATCCAACGGGAACTATGTCGTCTGCATACTCAAGGGTTGTTGTTGCTGAACGCATCTCCAGACTGCTATGCCCTCATGAGTCCACAGAAGTTCCACGCCGATCCGTTTCCCTCTCGCTGACCCCCTCCCACCGTTTCCGCATGGCAACTCACACAGATGACAATTACATCGATGTTCCCTAGGTGTCACCGTTATCTACTTCTATTGCGTCACTTATCTTATCAGGGGACAATTAATATTCCACAATCAGCCCGTGATTCCCTCGGTAACACCGTTGCTGGGTGACAACTCCGATTAATTGATGTTCACCTTTGTAAATGCCTTTTTACTATCGTCAGCCCGACAAGGCGCTGCTATCAATAAGGTGTAGCATTCATGTTCGCCTTTCTTCCGAGTCATTAGAAGCGCTCTTGTCGAAGGACTGTCTTCTCTCCCTCTCGGTCTAGCGGTGTAGTTCTGGGATTGCGCTCGTCTCTCGTGTGGGATAATCGTGGCTAAGATCTATGGGGGCGTAAGCGGTCTGGATTTCGTGCAGCTACTCGACGCGTATGGAACTACACCGACAAGCGTTATTGGCTCGGCTAAGCAGCATACTTAACACCGACACCGAGAAACAGACTACCATAAGAAACGATTTTTATGCATAATTGTAATTGGAAATGATAACTTAGGTTGCTAAGTGAGTGTGACTCAAAGCAAAATGTGGGTGGCTCCAGAAAATACGCCAAAGCAAACCGCGAAATAAACCAAATGTCGAACGTGGGGTTTCTTGCCACTAGTTATTTCCGTTTCACATATCTACAATTATTCACTCGGGAACATGTTGGTAATAGCTTTTTAAAGATAAGCACGCTGTTTCTGGCGACTGTGTCTACTTTACCATGCTTCTAAAGGATAGAGTGAAAACAAATATAAAAACAGCTGACGTATATGTTGCAGCCCATTAATTGTACCATTCGATTTCATGTTGCACTTTGCTATCACTTTTTTGGACACCGATTCGGTTCTTTTCTTTCAATCGCTTCCCCATTTCATTCTTATTTTGGTTTTTTTACTTTAAGCTTTTTCATTACAGATCTTTTACACGTACGACAAGTGTCATTCCACATGGATGTTCCGCCTGACAGTTGCTTTTCTAAACAGACGCGATTGCTCAACTTATTTGGTGTACCACCGAATGGTAGTCCCTGTATTACTCTTCATTCGAAACGCGATAGTTAAAGGTCTAAGTGAATATTCTGCTGTTCCTTGATTCGCTTGCTTTGTTTGGAGAACGTACACTATGTCAAGCAACTTTGCAGCTCATCATTTCATGTATTTTCACGAATCAATAATGTACCACACTTTCTCCTGATAATGTATCTCAGTCCTATGAACTCGTTCTTTACCTGTCTCTTTGGTTACACTGCGACTCTCATTCTGCTGTCGCATAAATCACCAAGATACTCTCATGATTCGTCGCAGCGTTCTTCTTTTTCGTTTTTCTCCTCCATAAGGATTTGGCCAGCACGGAACAACGTGAGTTGTTCCAAATGCAGTTGTTGGGTTGGAGTGACCGAAATGCTCTTCTTGCTGCACTCGCAAAGCCTGCTATTGTTTCCCGTCAGCCAGCAGCTCGGACTGTCTCCAGACCAATCGACAGGCTCATACCTCACCACCGTGGGCTGGAACCACTGAAGGAATTTAAATTCTACCCCTACGTCGATCCTGGAGCGTACATTATCCAGTATCGTCGTGATTGCTCCTCCGTTTCCACTCCGGACGGAAGACAAGGACCTCTGGAAATGTTTGCACTCATTGGTGGATGTGCACAAGATCGGCAGACGGTAGACGTGAGTTCAATTAGGTCATTGATTATGCACGTCTTTGCCTTGGGAATGTTTTCCTATCTTTATTTTTGCGAGTATTTTTTGCATTATTTCGTTGGACGAACGTTTTTTGTTGCTTACTCTAGCACTAACCAATGTACTAGGTGCCATAACGCGACAATGTTTGGATGGGTCGAATCAATAACCTTTGAAATGCAAGCTTTTCACTCCAACACTTTGTCTGTAAAACGACTGGATTATTCCATGCTTCAAGCAAAATCTCCGAAGCATGGGTTATAAGATGACGTCGTCATTTCGGGTTTCTTGCTCAGTCACATGCGCAGACCAATAAGAGATCCCAAACCAATATCATGTGAATTTAAATGGTGGCGAATTGTTTCCTGATTGGCTACCGCGGTAGGTTTAGCGGTATTATCAACTGTTCCTCGTTTGCCGCCACCACCACCATCACTCCGCACATCGCGCCGTCGCGACGTCTCATTCTCGCTAAAGTGCCGCGTTTACAGCGCATGTGTTCCCTCAGTGTTGTTGTAAGGGAGCGAGTCCTGGCCAGTTCGCGTGAAAGACATGCGTCGTCTTTCTGCTTTCGATAACGGTTGCTTAAGGTGGATTGCTCGTGTTTGGTGGCAACATCGAATTAACAGTAATGACGTTCGACGTTGCATTTTGGGGAATGCGAGTATTCCCTCCAACAAACTGGTTTTGCTGCGCCAGTTGACATGGCCTGGTCAAGTCCTACACATGGCACCTGAGCGTCTACCGCGTCGCGCTCTATCCTGTCGTCAAGGACCTGGCTGGAGGCGACTGCGTGGTGGTCAGCCTTCCACATGGCGACAGCACATGACATCACGGGTGTCGTGTCTAGCCGCTGTTGGACCCGTACGTCTTCTAGGATGGGGACCCAAAGATGAGAACTGCGCATGCCCTAACACTCTCGAAGACACGACCAGCAACCGGAATCAGTGGAAGGATTGTCTACAGAATTGTACTGATTCACATGTTAATACTTCAAACATTGAAAATGAGACAAAATGGCGTGTGAAAAACCGACTAAAAATGTTTTCTACTTTTTGTCAATATGTTCCTCAACATGTTCTTCCTGCGACACAGTAGCTGAAGTGTGTTGCTCACCTTCAACTACTATGGCACGATGGTTATGACGTGATGACTTCCCCTTATCCGCTAATCCCGTCGTTTTTGTTGGCTCTATGTCTGGTTGCTAGACTGTTGAGATTATATACATACGTACTTGCCGGGACTAAAGCTTGACATGTAGCAGTGGGTACCTGCCCAAATGATTCACCGACTGGCCTCTTTCAGACCTGCGTCTACTCAACTAGTTACGGGTCGAGGAAACCAGCTGGTGGAATTTAGAGTCAATTCCCTTCTTAATTCAGTTTAAGATTGATGTTATCTCTGAATTCAGGGGAGTACGTCTGTCGTTTATTTGTTTGTTGCCATGGACCGCAAGCTAGTGATTCAGGTTTAGTAAGAACCATACCCGGCAAGGCTCTCTTGCAGTTGACTTCACTCTCAAATGTACGACTTAATAAGGCTGGAGGTATACGCGAATTGTCCTAACCCTTCCAACGGCATACATCACGAATATCGATCGGTTAGCACAGTTTCTGTTCGAAGGGAGAAAATCTTCGTTGTCGAATGAAGTGTTGGCATCGGTCCTCACAAAAGTGCTCCTATTTTCAATGTAACTGCAGTGACTCAAACTAAACCATTATCCCAATTGAGATTATGTTTTGCGTCACAAATACATGACTTTTTACCCTTTCTACTAGTTATTGCACTTCTATTAAGCGTAACGCGATAATCAAGTTGTCTGACTAGCGGTTCCGATATCATCTACTCGAATGAGAGCCGGCCTACGTACTGACACGAAAAAATATGAGATGGTCACGTCCTAACTGAGTGATATCGGAAACGTCTCTGCATCTATTTCATGCTTTTGCTCTGCCATAAATCCTACCGATCAGTCGCATCTGCAAAATCTACCATATATATTTTCGCCCTCCAGGTACATTCGATTGTAGTTTTCTTCCACCCTACTACCAGGTTGTGGATTCGGAAAATGGCCCAACGGAGACAACTGTACAATTACCCTCAGTGTCCAAAGGAGATGAGAATATCAATGGTTCTTCCGTGTCATGTGCTACACACTTTGAATCACTGGACACTGTTTCGGAGCCACCACTTCAGAACGAACCACCACTTGCTTCGTGCGGTATGGAGACAGCTCAAGCTGATACCATCGCTGAGATACACTCTCCCACTGTCTTGTCTGCCCCACGGTCTTGTGGCCACACTCGTGCAGTCCGCCCCACTAGACGGGACAATCAGTTTTCTGAGTCGCAGCTCGCACATCAGAAGAAACCTTATGGAGGGCTTAGGTACGGCGCTTCAGTTGCACCAGCGATTGTCACAAAATATACACCAAACCAGAAGGATGTTGGAAAATATCTTTTTCTCACCGGTACAAATGTGGCAATGCGACAGAATGCCTTGCGTCACGATGCTCTGATGAGCTTGGTTCTCTCCACCACGGCGAACACGTCAAGGTAAGGCTTAAGGTTAAAAGAAGTGCTTCTCTATCTATATCTTTTCTCAATTCGTTGCATCATTCCCCCAAATGTTTGCATCGGTAACGCTTGGAGCCGCATCTCGTGCGTCATGTGACACGCACGTATGCACTCGTATGAGCCATACTCATGGCCTGGGAGATCACGTGATCGCCTTTCCACCAACCTTTTCATCCGTGACGTAATCAGGTTTACGTTCAGTATGTGTACATGCTTCCAGTCGCGTTCCTTTCACAAGTCTTCTTATATCCTTTACCACCGAATGCCGCGTATGATTGCGTTCTTGACATTCGGAGCAGGGCAAGCTGTTGCACTAACTACGGTTCCACTCAACTTGGCGTGCCTATGGAGTTAACCACCACTTCGTTAGTCACAGTACTAGTGCAGTCGGTGGCAAGGCGATCACGTGATCTCAACTCGCGAACACAGTCCTTGAGCATGGTTCACACGAATGCACACGTGCAACGTGTCACATGACGCATGCGATGCAGCTTCAAACGTCACCGATGCAAACATTTGGGGGGAACGATGCAACGAATTGGGAAATGGTATAATGTTGCTGTTCGTTTCTTACGAAATTAACCTACCAATCCTTCATTCTTAGTGAACCCATCCGCTAGCAGATGACGCTGCACATACCAGTAGGCTTCTAATTACTTGCTTCCGGCTTAATGTGTAGCGCCCTCATCACTACATGTCTAGCCGTTGCACCGCAGTTCAGTGCAAACAGATTAAGAAATGTAAGTTGACAATAATAGGGCGATCATGTACTCGCCGATTTCGGCAATTGGGTCGCAAACGGTTCTTCACCAAATAGGTGACATTGTCGATACCTATCCTTGTGTAGTCCTCCATGTGAACTTTGGTTTCTATCTCTACATCTCGGGGGTTAGTACCATTAACTCAACGTGAATGGTTACTCTTTTCGCCTCTCTACTTGCTTTCGGCGATGACGATTAGTCGTACGGTGTGATGTGAATGAGCTGGTCGCAGTTCAATTGGTGCAGTACTAGTACCGTCCATGGAACAGGTTTACTCGGTATGTTTTGCTTGATCCCCTGTCACTGAACTGTTTAACTGCACTTAACGACTCCCAAATCGCTTTATTTCTTTCCATCTGAACGCTTGGTATACTAACTTAATTTACATGCGCATATTTGCGAGTATCTTCTTAGGGAACCATAAGTCAAGTAATTCTCTTCCTTTTCGTCACTTTCCGTATGTCAGCATTTCTGTTCTCTCCATTCGAAATGATGCCGAAATCAAAGAGCGCATGTACTGCTTCGTGCAAGGCACTTTGTACTCTTATTGGTTATTTCCTTATTGTTTGACCTGTGTACTTCTTGCCGCAATAGTGACATTACATCTCGTAAGCTTTCAGTCTGCATTTAGGTTTCAGTAATCTCATTCAGAGTGATGGTTGGTTTGTCATTGTCCACTGGTGACCGAGTGGTCTGCGCGCCTGGTTTGCAACCATAAGGTCCCCGGTTCGAATCCGCGTAGGAGTAGGCGTCCTCGCGGTATACTCAGCCCGCACGCGACTGGTGGTTGCGCGGCAACGAAGCGCCGTTACGGTGTACAGCTGACACCTTTTTGGTTTGTCAGTAACTGTAGGACCGAAATGTTTAAACAACCTGCTTGCTCTTCCAGATCTGTTGTTCACTTATAGCCGAATGACTCGTTCCCTTGTTGACAGGTTATGGCATTTCCGGGCAACACTAAGGGAACATCCATCTAGTAGAAACAATCTAAACAGATGTATCCCTTCTTTCCATCTTTCTTCGTTAGTGCTGCGGTGTCTTAAGATCCTGCAGAATGGATTTCGTAGGCAGCTTATTTTCTGGTTCTTAGCGGTTACTGTGTTTTGTGTGTGTTCGGTTCCCCATCCGCTTCGCGGTATCTAACACAGTTAACAATGGAAGCTGTTTTTCATCCCTGATTCTGTGCTAAACTGAATGTCCCCTATGGCATTAAAGTAGCAGACTATCGCGGCCCAGCGAGATGGATCGATCCAGATTACGCTATTCTGGAATACCCACCTCATTTTCCGTACCCAGCACATAATATCAGCTTGACACCAGTGGTGGCATTGTTGCCGACCTCCATTCTTGTTCACCGCTTGTTAAAGAACTGGACTCGTGGTTGAGGGCCGAGCAGCCTTGTTTCCAACCTTTACAGTGTAACATGCATTGGATGTTCACTTTGCTGCAAGTGCGAGTACACAGCGTCGCGAGCACCTCACACACACACACACACACACTGACTTTACTTATCTTCTCCAGTTCAATTACTGTTTTCCCATCAGTCGATATATCGTTTTACTCCAATTTGTGCTGTGTGTACTGCTACACATCAAATCGCATCACGGATTTGTTGGACGCCTTCCCGGCAACAAGTGGTGTCTTTTGAAGTTGTTCAACTTTATTTAATTAATTATTTATTATTTAGATAGAAATTCGTCACATCTAGACTCACTCAGACAGCCGTCACACGCCCGGAAAAACACTGTACTCGCGTTTCGTCCTTTCGGGAATCGTCAGCAGTGCGCATTCCATCGGACCGTGGTAGGTCTCGAACCCGCAACTCGACTGTTGCCAGTCCGTGCTTGAGACCACTGAGCTGCGGAGGATGGCAACGATCATCGTGAATAAGTTGTTAGATGTGTTGTAGCGCATGTGACGGCTGTCTGAGAGGGTCTAGATGTGACGAATTTCCACCTATACTATTCAACTCCCCCTACTATTCCTATATAATCAGTGCGCAGACCAAACTGCTTATAATGCCATGTTAATTTTCGGCTTAAATTTGGTCAGCTCGTCGCTTGCTGTGGGGGGCTGCCCTGTCATCTGCACGGCAGTAACGTGTAAGTCATTGGATAGTGAGCAGCGCTACATCACATCTAGTAACTTATACACCATGGTCGTTGCCGTCGGACGTAGCTCATTGGTCTCAACCACGGACTAGCAACAGTCGAGTTACGGGTTCGAGCTCTACCAGGGTCCGATGGAATGCGCACTGCTGACGATTCCCGAAAGGACGAAACGCGTGTACACTGTGTGTGTGACGGATGTCTGAGTGAGTCTGGCTGTGACGGATTTCTACCTATACCATTCAATTCCCCCTACCACACCTCTGTCGGCCGGTGGCCGAGTGGTTGGCACGTTTGCTTTCCAACCATAAGGTCACCGGTTCGAATCCGCGTAGGGGTGGGCGTCCTCGCGGTATACTCAGCCCGCGCGCGACTGGTGGTGGTCGCGCGGCAGCGAAGCGCCGTTACGGCGTATAAGCTGACACATTTCATTTTCATTTTTTTCACCACACCTCTGTAATATTTATTATTCATTTTCACTTTAAATTAACGTTTCGCAAACCACTTTAGACGTTTTGCATACTACCTTGGACATTTTGCAAACCACTTTCAACACATTGAACTGTAAGCAGAAAATCACCAATTCACCGGCAAGACATGAGGAGTAAGGTGACTGTTCAGACTACATTTGTAGCTTTGCTAGTGCAACCGAATTTGAATAATCTGCGATCACCACTCCCAACTTTTATTTTCATCGTGGACTTCGATCGCCTCGATCAAAGGCGGTGACTGAGTATCCACCTATCTCCCCATCTGTCTTCTCGTAGTTTATGTGCTTCTGACTTTACACATGGACCTGTGTAGCTATGTGACTATTGGAAAGTCAGACTTCCTAATTGCGTAGTCTATCATGACTTAAACAAATGTTACCTAGCATTGGAGGGTCGTTGTGAAACAGTCGTTTTGAGAATGGATTACAATGCGCTATCTCAATGTGGACCCCGATTCCTACTGCATTAAACCTTGACCAATTCGATCACTTGGACCGTAACTGATGAAACAGATAGGCAGCGATCTGGTTGTCCCCTGTCACTGTATGTACCTTCGCGTATGTTGTGTGGGCTAACCTATTCAGCTACTCGATTATTGGATCAGTGCAAGTTATCATGTCTCTAGCAAACACAGCTGGCCTGGTCTAGTGCTGCAGGTCGTTATCAAAGAAAGGGGATTAAAATTACTGGACGATGTGCAGACCACATTGTGCTCGCGCGAATGCATTGGGGCTGTGCAAGTGGTGGGCGATTGTGCAAGCTCTCCTGTCGATCATAGGCGTTGTTCACTTTGAGCAAATCCGGCGACCTATTTGTCCCGTGTCGCCTTATGTGCTTTCGCGCATTTCCTACAGCTACAATTTAGGTTATCCTGACTCCACGGAACCCAGTCTAGTATTATTGGTCCAGTGCTACGGTTTTGTTATCAAGAAACAGTGGAGCAATTGTGTATTACGGGTAAGAAAGCAATGCTCGACATGTCCCGTTGGTGTAAGGCGACTAGACAATGTGCAGACCACCTTTTGCACATGGGAATGCAACAGAACTGCGCAATCAGCGGGCGATTGTCGTTTTCCGTTCATTTTAACATTCCATGCAGCTCAAGGACACTAAAAACGAAGTTGGGTTCGGGGTGGTCAAGATAGCATTTGAACCCCTGCACACACTCACAGGAAATACGCGAATGCCCATAGAGTGACGGGGTGAAATGTGTCACCCGCCTCGATGGTGTTAAATGATGTCAATGATCAAGGGTAAGGCTTGAACCACTGCCCACTGTTTGCACAGTCCCGCTGCATTCGCAGGACAAACATGTGGCGGGAACATCGTTCAATCACCTTAATCTCCTGCCTTGATAACATACTGCAGTTTTAGCCCAGCAAAATTAGGCTGGTTGTGGTGGATTCCTCATAGTCCACACTGTTCCAATATTCCAGCAGATGAATAGGTTCGCCCGCACACCCACATAAGATACGCGAAAACCCACAGAGCGACAGGGGTCAACTGGATCACCGGTTCTGGTCGAGCCAACTGACGCCCATGATCTACAGGAGGGATTGCATAATCGTCCACTGTTTATGCAGCCACGTTGCATTCGCGTAAGCGCAATGTAGCCGGAATATCGTGCAGTCCCCTTACTCCTCTGACATTGATAACAATCGACAGCGGTAAACCAATGAAGCTAGACTGGTTTAACTGGATTCATAATCGCAAACAATCTTTCGGTGATTCCACTGCATAGGTTCTCCCACGTACCCACAGGAAATATGCGAAAGCACATATAGCGACATGGGACAACTGGGTTGCCGGCTTTGCTCGAGGTGAGCAACGCCAATGATCAAGTGGAAACGTTGCACAGCCCCATTGCATTCGCGCGAGCACAATGTGGTCTGCACATCGTCCAGTAATTTTAATCCCCTTTCTTTGATAACGACCTGCAGCACTAGGCCAGGCCAGCTGTGTTTGCTAGAGACATGATAACTTGCACTGATCCAATAATCGAGTAGCTGAATAGGTTAGCCCACACAACATACGCGAAGGCACATAAAGTGATAGGGTACAACCAGATCGCCGCCTATCTGTTTCATCAGTTACGGTCCAAGTGATCGATTTGGTCAAGGTTTAATGCAGTAGGAATCGGGGTCCACATTGAGATAGCGCATTGTAGTCGATTCTCAAAACGAGTGCTTCACAACGACCCTCCACTGCTAGGTAACATTTGTTTAAGTCATGATAGACTACGCGATTGGGGAGTCTGAGTTTCCAATATTCACATAGTTACACAGGTCCATGTGTACAGTCCGAAGCACAGGAATTACGAGAAGACAGATGGGGAGATGGGGGGATACTCAGTCACCGTCTTTGATCGAGACTATCGAAGTCCACGATGAAAATAAGAGTTGGGAGTGATGACCGCAGGTTACACAATTCGGTTGCATTAGCAAGGCTACAAATGTAGTCTGAACATAGTCCAGTCGCCTTACTCCTCATTTCTTGCTAGTGAATTACTGATTTTTTGCTTACAGTTCAATATGTTGCGAGTGGTTTGCAAAATCTCCGAAGTAGTATGCAAAACGTCCAATTTACACAAGAAGCTGTATGGTATATATATATATATATATATATATATATATATATATATATATATATATATATTAGGTTCCTCGTTCCCTTTATTTTCGCTTCTAGCTGCATTTTTCTCCCGATTTTCGCAGAACTGCAGAAGAATCGTGTCGCAAAACCCGTTCTTCTGGGTTGAACAAAGGTTTGACTGTAAGTATGACCATTCGATTATCTTCCTATGTGCCACCCACATCTTCGTTTGTCTTAGCATTCACTAATTTTAACCTACCTGTTTCCTGATGTGAGCCACTACCAAGCTGTTGTTTCCACGTCCACTGTAAAAATCGCTCTACTAATAGACCTTGTGCCCTGAAATCTATCGTGACCGCACTATCGTTTCCCCTTCTAAACTGTACACCTCGTGATGCGTTTTCGCATTGGCTATACTCGGTTCTTATTACAGATTAGTAAGTCGATGTGACGGCCGCCGGACATTGCGAAGCTCCATGGGGTGGATGCACACCGCCTGGCTTGTGCGGAGCCTAGCAGTCGATTAGTCTGGTCTCTCATTACTACTCTTGAGTAAGGGATTTGTGATGTAATTTTACCGAGTCCCTCCTTGCAATAGCCACGAGGCCAGTGAATATGGCATTCGGCCTCCGGTTCCTCACAGTTAACGTTTTCACTTTGCGCTATTGGACGTTTCATTGCTTTTATCGCGATATTTTTATGAGTGCGTTTTCCCCTCCGTATTTTCCCCATCAATTGTATTTCCAGTTACAGCTTCGATAACCACTGCTACACCGCATCTGCAATACCTTTCTTTCGCCTATTGGCTCTTCGTATTGTGGCATCACGACGTGGACAACTCCTTGCGCTTAGACAATTTCAGCTCGAAATGTTTCCACCTTTTATTCTTTGGCGGTGTCAACATGATTTTCATCAATGCTTGGCTTCGAGTTACATGTGTCTGTTGCGTGCTTAATCAACCTCCTAGTCGGCATTGTCTTTCTTTTATTAAGTTCGATGCGAGTCGGTCCCAGTATTAAGTTCTAACTGTTGCATTGGAAGATAAGCATCTTATATACATTCCTGTTGAGGTGTGCTTGCGAATAGCAGACTTAGCTGACCTCTCACAAACACGCACCGTAGCTCAGTAGTCTGCTTACTGGACGCCTTCAATCTCTCCATTTATTGGAAGCACGGTATTTATTACACGTGCGAACGATGGATTACTGGGTTCTTATGCACGCGCATGTATGGGTAATTTGTTCTCCCCACATCACACTGCACATTGCCACTCTGCTTGTCGTCGCGTTCGTATGTCAGTTTGACCGAATTTGGTGAATCCTTTCGGACTGGTTATCTCCTTGTATCTTCGCTTCCATCAGTCGCATTCCGACCAAATTAGATTTCTTGTACTGCTCTTGATTTTCTCAACCGGGTTAGCATTACTTTAGTTGGAGCTAATACTGCAGGTGCCGACAATGTCGTATCTCGGCCACTATTTTCTCTGTTTCCCTCGGTTTATGCCCGCTATTGCTAGTGTCTCACGACCTATTCATTTATCGTTCCGCAAACTTTGTATTGTTCCGTCTGATTTCGGTCACCGCGTTTGTCCCTTTTCCCTGTGATCTTTCTCTTTTCCCTGTCCCTACACGCGCTGCGACTCGAAGTTGTTTTTTATTGCATCTCATGATGTCGTACTCGCGCCACCTTCCCTCAGCGTGTCGCCATACTACTCCTACTTTTGGAGTTTCTTCCTTTTTGTTCGATTAAATGGTAGGGGCCTTTCCAACGTCCCTTGAACTTATTCTCACCTGGTCCTCTGATCCGCTCGATCGATGCCGTGTAACTTCACTTCTTTCCGTAGGTTACATGTTCTCAATTTGTTCGCCCCATACCTTGTATTGCGTGTTTCTCTTCCTTCGGTTAATTACATTCCTTCGTGATTCCCTGCTGAATGTGCCGATCCACGCACTTTTAGTATGCGTATATCGAGTGCAATTCTTAGTTCTCTGCTAAACTGTAATCCCAATAGAGAAATCTTGCATGCTAGTTCGATAGGCGAGTGGAAATTTGGACAGTGCATCCTCCCACCAACTTTGTGCCGTTTATCCATGCCTACATGTTCCGATCAACCGCTGGTTTGTGCATGGTGCCGTAGCATACCTTGTCTTTGCATATCCCATTTCCGACCCCTATAGCAACATATGACTTCACTGAGCTGCTTTCGCGTTTCTGTCGTCCATTTACTGTCCCACCTTAGGCCACGTATCTTCAGCCGCTTGTTTCACGAAGTCATGTGGCTCAACCTAAGCTGCGCCGGAATTGTCCTGGTCCGAAAATTAAAGGGGGAAAAGTGAAGGATTTGACAGCACCCAAACAAACCAACATGTCAAACTCATCTTTGCCTCTTAACGTGCGTGATGCTGCTGATCCGAATTTCGCCGAAGTGCTCTTCGTCAAACTGCTTCAGGTGGAACAGTGCCAGAGACGCCAGAACTCACTGGGTGCCCTCGACATTCCAAAGTCCGAAGCCGCTAGCCCTCTGGAGCAATTTGAGCGAGTCCACTCTTCCGCTATTCCCGCAGATGCTATGGACACTTATCAGTTGGGTCTTCGGAAAAGCGCCGAACGAGATTCGTTTAACGCTACTGTGATGTGAGTGCCATGTTATCCGTGCCCTGTTTTTACAACTTAATTTCTAACGCTCTTTTCTGTTGCACCACAAAGCAATCAACCCATCGTGTTGAGAATAGATAGGAGTACTTCTTAGGTGCGTGTTCGAGTCACGTCTGTGATACAGACTTTGAGCGCGTCAAGGTCATGCTACACTACCTAGCCTGTGGAGCTGCATTATGCGCGCTAGTGCATGAGTGTCCATCTTCCGACTAACCAGCGATGCTTATTGATTGGTTCAAAAGCGAGTGCTTAGCTAAAACATATGAACTGCGTAAAACTAAACAGTTGATCTGTACCCAGTGTGGACTGCCGATGTACTATTGCCATTGCTTCTACTAAATTTCCATTTGCAATACTGTTGTTCTGATTTCGGTTGAGTGTAACAGTCTGGTTCACCACTTTGTAAGGAGCGATTCTCAGGTGCGGACTTCGGAATTATTCCCTCGTCGTTCTCGGATGTCAAAAGGAAGTGTAAGCATATATTCGATACTCGATGGTATGTTGGATGGAGCTTTTAAATGATGGTAAATATAGCTGATAGATCGTCAGCTGATTAGAGATGTTCTAGCAAAGCTTATGTAGCAAAATGTAAAAAGGTGTCCTACACATATATTGCCTGAAAAATAGCAACCACCCATTGGTCCTGACCTAGTTGCGTAGAGCTAACATTCACAGTTTAAAATAAAAATATCAGAAGACGTAAGCTGTGAGATGACGCTGTCATTTCTTACATTCTCATCGGTCACGTGCATGCAACTAGCAGAGGATCCGTAACAGGGTCACATGAACTCGATTACTTTCCAGTAGCTTTCGGACTGGTGCGCTACATGCAACCGCGCTAGAATTAGTGTCACTGTCAATCAACAACAATGGCCTCGAGGAGCTTCACTACCTGAGGCCTATGATTGCGCATGAGAACTTCGATTAATGCATCGGGATTGACATGTTGTGCAATGTACAGATAAAGCCTCGTAGTTACTGAGGCAATCCTGCTTGGCCCAGTGCAACTGTCGGTTCGTGAAGCCACTTTGGAATGTGCTGTTCGATCCTGACTTCCATTTGTAAGTGCAACGCAGCTCTCTTTACAGGTGTATATGAATTCATATGAGCGATATAACTTGCTCTGCTTGGACACCGGTTTCTTCAACAAACAATTTAGCTGTGGACTTGCGGACACGAGCAAGCGTAGCTCTGTTGCATCGCATATAATTGTTTCGTTTTATGGTGGTTTTTATGAGGTGTTCACGTTTGAATGCAGAATAGCTTCTTCTACACCGTTATTATCTCGACTTTGTCTCATCCCATCACTACAGCGCCTTATGCGCGCTGCATCCGATTGTGGCAAGCGGTTCTTTCTCTGCTCTCAGTGCACAGCTTTGGAGTACAGCTCACGAACTGACAACGTCGGCTCACAATCTGCTTTTTCTGATTTTCTTATGTTGGATTATAGAAGGAACTATATGGTCCGACTTCTCAGCTGCACCCAACTCCGGCCTCGACATAGTCTTGTTTTTGGTTGCCACTATGTGTCTGCTTAGATCCTGCCTCGGGAAAGCCGTCACCTCTTTTCATGATTTCACACACAATGATCGCTTCAACGATAAGTTAAATTTGATTAAATTCGATCAGAAATCCGTGAGAATATTTGTAGCTCGGGATGCGGATGAGGGTATGCGGGTGTTCTCCGAGCTGACTGATTTGGCTGCAAACGTTTCATCGTCAGACTAGACGACATCATCAGGGCGATTTATGCGGGCCACTTACAGATCCAAGTGATTATTGATCACTTGATTCAAACGTTATCATTTCGTTACAATTATATAGTGTACAGGATAGCAATGTGATGACCGTTCGCCTGGTTGATAGACCCCTAAATTTTGCGGGGTTCTGACACGAAATTAAACGCTTGGTCCTTTTTCTGTTCTTTCTTCTCAGCCAGATAGATCGTTGCAAAGGTTTATGTTTACTTACCATCCTGTCACACCCAGATGAATCAGAAAAATGACGGGGCATTGAAAGTATATCGTAAGCAACCGTGCATACAGGAAACTTGTAGAAGCAAACAGCAAGCAAGTAACGTGAGTGCTGAGTCCAGTGTTCGATCAGCCAGGGAGGGATTTGGCCAATGAGCGCAATGAGAGGGAGAACGAAACACACACACCTATTGATAGAGACACACACACACGTACATTCGCAGTCAGTAGAGACGACACGGAACACTGGCTGAGGGGGCATCACTTCTTCATCCTATAGTTGCAATTATGCAGCTTGGAAACGCTCAGCCGGTCGGCGGTCACGGGTTGATCTGCGCAGCGGCGCTTCGGCTTCAGGTGGTAAGTCATTCGCTCGCATGTCGTCCAATACTGCGGGTGGAGAATTTAGTTCACAGGTTGAATCGGATGTTGATGGGCCTTGCCGAACGTGATCCGTTTGACGCCGCACCATTTTGCCATCCTCGGTCTCTGCCTCTATGATCTGCCTGTTAGCCGTTTTAACAACGGCTGGTTGCCATCCGTCGTCTGTATGCAAGGGTATGTAGACTGGATCTGATTTTGTTACAAACCTGTTTCTGCTGCGAGTATCAAAGCGTTCCTTCACCCGTTTTTGTTTTTCACGAACCTTAGCTGCCAGTGTTCCGTGCAGGAAGTCCAACCGAGTACGCAAACAGCGGCCGAACATAAGCTCAGCAGGACTTCTTCCGGTGACATCGTTCACCACATCTCGCTAAGCAAAAAGAGCACGATCTAGACGCACACGCAATGGCGCACCTGTTTGTTTGAGCAGCATATTTTTCACTATTTGTACAACCCTTTCAGCCAAACCGTTCGAAGATGGATGATAAGGGGCGGTAGTCACAAGTCTAATTCCGATGAACACAGATCCCTTGTCAGACACAAGTGTTTCGGGATGTCCAAAAGTAGCGAACGTAGTGCGTAGTTTGATTAACGTGCTAGCTGAAGTCGCTGTGGACAGAAGGTGAGCATCAATCCATTTAGAATACGCATCAACTACAAGCAGAATCATTTGACTTTCAAGTGGACCAAAAAAGTCCACATGCACACGTTTCCAGGGCGTCTCTGGCCATGTCCAGGGCTGCATCGGTGTGTGGGGGACAGCGTTTCGAGATTCTTGGCAAACCACGTAACATTCAACTTTCGCCGCAATGTCGCCATCCCATCCGGGCCATCACACATAGGAAGGGGCCAGTGCCTTCATCTTAGCAACTCCTGGGTGTGCATCGTGAAGCTCGTTCAGGATGGCTGATCGCAATCTTTTAGGGATCACAACCCGTGCACCCCACAGCAAACATCCATTCTGGAGGCTCAGTTCAGTCATTCTATGGTGAAAAGGTGTAAGTTCTGCTGGTGTGTTGTCCGGCCATCCAACCTGAACGTACCGCGTTACAAGCGCTGATAACGGATCTCTATCTGTCTCCTTACGTATATCTGTGGACGTGATCGGTGCCTTGTTGAAGAGCCGAATTAGATTCACAAGTTCTTGCGGAGTAAAGTTTTCTGAAGGGACCTCCGGCAAGGGTCAACTGAGAACGTTATCGGCGGTGTTCTGTCTGCCCGGAATATACTGAATCTGGTATGTGCAAACAGATAGAATGAGGGACCAGCCGATCATCCTGGGGGAGGCCATTTGTTGAATTCTTTTTTCGTGCCAAAGGAGCGAGATAAGGGGGTTTATGATCTGTGTGAATCACGAAATGTTGGTCGAGCAAGTACTGTTGGAATCGGTTGATCCCGAGGATGACAGCGGCCGCCTGTCGATCGAGCTGAGAGTAGCTGCTTTCGACTATGGTTAAGGTTCATGAAGCGTACGCAACAGGTCGCTGCTAGCCATCAGAGAATTTATGTACAAAAACGGCCCCGAGACTGTGAGGAGACGCATCACAAGTGAGAACAATAGGTTTCCATGGATCGTAATGTACAAGGACCTCAGTTGACGCGAAATGTTTCTTTGCTGCGTTGAAAGCATTATCGTGAACATCGTTCCATTTCTACGGCTGATTCTTACGCAAAAGTTGATGAAGCGGATGTGAGTGAGTTGATGCTGCTGGTATGAACCTGGAGAACTGTGTGACTGCCCCTAGAAAGGAGCGTAGCTCGTTTACATTTTTGGGCGCTGGGGCTTTAAGCAGTGCCCTGGTTTAGTTTGATCAAAAGAGGTGCATATTTTTGCAAAATCCCAAATGGTTGTAGGCACGCTTCAACCGTCTTGACGTTTGACATGATGCCTGGAAGTCGTTTAATGCCATCTCAACCTGATCCCCCAGAAACGTACACACGGATTTGATCCGTCGAATGGCGGTAGGAGATACGTGCAACATAGGTACCCAGCACATTCATCAACTGTCCGGTGTATGATCGTAGTTGTATTGTAGGGGATCTAGTTTTGGCATTTGCGACAAGGAATCGGGTCGTATCAGCGTAACTGCGGAACCCGTATCAATTTCGAAATCAACAGGTTGTTCGTTTACCTGGATAGACACAACAAACGGTTTATCCGCTGTTATGTTGTGATTAAAAACTGTTGTAGTGTTTGTCCAGTTCTGATTTACATCCTCAGTAACGTGATTTTCGGTTTTTGGACCTCCCCGCGCAACGAAATTTCATTTGGAAAGACACTTTCTGGATATATCTTCTTTTCCCACAAAACCTGAATAATGAATGAGGATGCTGACTATCAGCCGGATCAGAATGCTGCTCGCCACAGCGATAGCAACACTGGCCGAGGGCACATCACACCCGTCACTTGGTTCTGTTTTGAGCACTTCGTCCTGGTTGCCGCCGCCGTCGTATCTTGAATTATGTCCACTGAGCACCAGCAATTATTGAAATGCTTCCCGTTGTACACTGTAAACACGGAAGCACTTCATGTGGTCATGGTTACTTGATATGAGTCCAAAACACGTTACTAGTACTTTCGTCTCTGATGAACTATGATACGTTCATTGATCGTTCCACATCCATCCAC